CAAGGGAAGGTTTTTAGGTGTTACACACCAATTTCGCTGGGCGCGATACATATGGAGGACCTGCGCGTAAAGAAGAACAGAAGGAAGATGGCCGCCGCGGCGGGTAGTGGGGGTAGGAACATAACAAAACCTCATTTGTTTAGCAGAAGTGCCGTGGCGCTATTTCGAAGTGTGGACGTATTATATCCTCCCCCCCCCCTTACCAAACAGCAAAAAAATGAAAAAGAGCTAAAAATTGCAATGGAGGACCTGCGCGTAAAGAAGAACAGAAGGAAGATAGCCGCCGCGGCGGGTGGTGGGGGTAGGAACATAACAAAACCTCATTTGTTTAGCAGAAGTGCCGTGGCGCTATTTCGAAGTGTGGACGTATTATAGCACCAAACATTTTGTAAATTTAATAATAAATGTTGTTTACGTGTCAAATATTAATTTTGTGATAATTTATAGACAAGGGTCCACCAAAATAGCGTCAGTTTCTGAACGCGTCGACTGCTAAACAAATGAGGTTTTGTTATGTTCCTACCCCCACCACCCGCCGCGGCGGCCATCTTCCTTCTGTTCTTCTTTACGCGCAGGTCCTCCATACAGGTCAAAAAATGTTGTTTTTAGGTTGAAAATGTTGAAAATGAAATGAACGCTGTTAGCATGATCTTTACTGAATGTGACATCCACAAAAAAAAAGTCTTGCTTTGGCCTATTCAGAGTCAAAATAAGTCATTTTAAAGTTTCCGAAAGAGCCTTTTCACATTTTACACTCAGAGAGCCGTAGTCTTGGTTCAAGAGCAAAATTCTCTTAAATTATTCAAGAGCATTTTCTTTTGATTTGAGAGCAATTCCTCTTGTAATGAGACAAAAACACTTGATTCAAGTTTCAAATAAACTTCGACCCAAGTGCAATAGACGTTTAATTCAAGTACCAGACCAGATGCACTTGGGTCCAAGCTTATTTGGTTCTTGAACCAAGCGTTTTTGGCTGAGAACAAAAGAAATTGCTCTCAAATCAAGAAGAAACTGCTCTGCATTCATTTAAGAGAATTTTGCTTTTGAACCAAGACTACGACTTTCTGAGTGTACGTTGTGCTAAAAACCTAAGTTTAACTGGACGTCCAGGGAGTCCAGACCCCCCCGTACCCCCCCGTCCGGTTGTGTCCGGTTTTGACTAACCCCCCCTCCCCCCAACGACCGGACGGTCCTTTATGGATGGCCCCTTAAGCGCCGACTGCAGCGCCGGGTCCTTGCACTGCACCAGCACCACCAGATACGTGATGGTGGAGCCGATCACCTGCCGCGACAAGTACGCCGTTCTTAGGAAGAGCTCGTACCCAGGTAGAACACAATCGTCAAAAACTAGTCAATGACCCTTACTTAACGTCTATATAGCTATGATTTAACATGGTGACTTCCGTTTTGGTTCGGATGAGCTGTTGGGCAGGCCGCCACCAACCACCACCCCCCGCTTCCCCGCCACTGCTCTTTCCAGCCCCTTCTCAACTCTCCCCTCCCCTCCCCCTCTCCCCTCCCCACAAACACACGCCTTCCACGCTGCACACTCCGGACCAGACCTGACGCTTTGCCTTGTCCTCGCTCCATCACGCCCAAGTTATTCGTTCTACTGTGTAAGTACTTGCGAATGATGCCCCTCGAATTACTCTGCGGAGGCTGCTGTTTAAACCATATTTAGAGACACTCTGCATCAGCGACGCGCGTAGTGAACACGCCCGGCCGCCCTACTGTCTTTTAGGTTAGGTCGCGGGACTACTGAGCAACCGAGCGGAGATGCCGCCGCTTCCACCCACCCGGTCTCAACCGCCGCGGGCTTGCAAAGCACCCAGGAACTCCGCGCAGTCCGGGCCAACTTCAGAGGCAGCCATCGCTGCCATGGAAATGGATCATCACGAGCAGGTAGGACCTAGCAGCCGAGTACAGCATCGACGCGCACCTCAATGTGAACTCCCAAGGAGAATCGCCCGAAGCACTCCTGACTTTCCGTCGCCGTTTTGATCTTTGGTTCTCGCAGTGTCTCCCTGAGATGTTGTTCTGTCCCTTTTCTTGTTCTAAGCCGCCGTGGCCGGCTGAGCGAGTCCCCACTGATCATACGGGAACTTGACGCAACTTTAAGCCCAAATTATGACTATCCCGTGACTAATTTTGTCATTAAGGACGTCTAGACAAGAAGTTCTCGTGAATGTTTGTCCTCGCCGCTACCGCCCCCGTCCTGCCCGCAGGCGCTGCTGCTGACGGACCTGCCCGACCTGCCCCTGCTGCGGGTGCTCTCCTACCTGCCCGACGAGGCCCTGTTCGCGGTGGGCCGCACCTGCCTGCGCCTGGCCGCGCTCACCAGGACTCAGCCGTGGCGGGACCAGGAACAGCTCACGCTCAACACGGAGGAAGTGTGGGACCTGCTGAGGGTGGCCCCTCCTCCAGAGGTGGTGTGGATTGACGAGGTTGATAAGACCTCGAAGAAAACACAGTTTCTCTTTGGGGTTGCCGGCGCCATCGTTATTGGCTGTCTCGACAGTGACAGCCGCATTCACACCTTTTGCCCACCTCGAGTGCTGATCATGGAATTGATTAGCGTTACCTCCGAAGATGCCTTAATCCGGGAGGTAGCCAAGACGACGAAAAGTGTTGAATTCTTTATTGGAGGTCTGGACGTTATTTTCCGTTCACTGAAAGATGCGAGCTGGGGCCAGCTGGAGCATCTTACCTTGAGTGGGGTAAACCTGCACGAACAGCTGACTCTGCTGTGGCCGCAGGTGAGAACGCTCGCTTCCATGCCGGCTTTGTCGGAAAAGGCACCGTACCGTCACCGTCACGTCCATGTCCGCAGGACTTGGTGCTGCCGAGGCTGCGCACCGTGACTCTACTACCAGGCGACGGCCCAGACCCAGACTTGCCCTATTCTGAGGGTCGCCTTGAAAGCCTCCGCTCCCTACTGCGAGCACACAGGTATCACCTTTAATCAGCGCTTCCCACCACCCAGTGAGAAATACCGTTGGAAACGACGTCGAAACGATAGCGAAACGACCCAGCGATATCGTTTCGATGTAGTTTTGAAATGACATTTCTCGCTGGGCTACCGCCTCCATTATCCATCCGGTGTTTTGTTTGAGTCCCTGACTCCTTTGCAGTGAACAGCTGGAGTGTGTGAGGATAAAGTCGTATGTAGAGCTTCTCGCACATCTGGCGGACGCATTGCCCAGCGGCCTCCGTAGGCTGGAGTTCGAAGAGTTTACAGTACCGAGCGATGCCGCGGCACTTCGACGGACCCACGGTTTGAAGGAGCTTAAGATCGACATTTGGTTGGAAGATGAACTTTACGAACAGGCCTGTATTGAGGTAAACAAAGTATCCACAAAGTTCGTGCGGGTGTGGGGGGTCCGAAGGGGAAAATGCGATCAGGGACGATAAATGGCTAAAAACGTTTTTTAAATGTCAAAATACAAAGCGGATCACCCCCGCGACCCCGCTGTCACACTGACCCTTGTGTCTCTCGCCGCCTTCTCCTATGTTGATCTGACCGCCCCGATATGTTCCCAGCTGGAACACTTCTTTCGTGCCCCGGGCCAGCTGGAACGCCTCGAGCTGCTTCGCTATCATCTGCCGTCAATTAACCTGGGGGCGGGCGGGCTGAAAAGCCTCCAGTGTCTCGTTCTGGGGGGCTGCTACTACGACTCACTGCTCGAGGAGCTGGCGGGCCTTCCCCGCCTGCGCTCGCTCATTATATTCTGCCCGCATCCCCGGCCTTTACCCGAAGTGTTCCGAGAGATCACACCCGCCGTCATCCCCGCCCTCGAGGTGGTCGTCGTCTCTGACAACGAGGAACCCTGCAACAGATCTCCCTGTGTGTGCCCCGACTTTTATAGTAACGGTAAGACAGTCCAGGTTTATTTTGTCTTACATGGTCTTGCACTTGTCGGTGAAGAGTTTCGACTTTTCGCCTTCGTAGTTGGCAACACTGGCTCAAAGCTCTTGTAAATTTTGCCCTCAGGAACAGCATGCACGCGAGTCCCTCGGCTGATCTCGGAGCTGCAGGGCCTGGTGCGACGTGCCCCCGCCCGGCTACACGCCATTTATAAGTACGAAACGATGTTCTTCAGGCACCCCGTGTCAGAGACGGCGGGCTGCCCGCTGTGCCGCGAGGCCTCGGTCGAGGCAGTTGCTGCCTTGCACGATCATTACATGGGACGTACGCACATTAAACTGGACGGTTCAGTTCAATGTGTAAAGGTGTAACAAAGCAATGTATAACACCAACTCCAACCAAGCAAATGTACTGTTCCCTGTCTTCGCTACCAGTGGAACCGATTCTGGTCACTCCAACGGCATTCTTTTTGCAATGCCGAATATGTAAAGCCCCTTTTTATTATTTTTTGTCGGGGAACTGTGCCTGTCCCACGTCCCACCCCGTTCCAGCGACGTATCTGTTGGCCCTCCCTCAATGTCCCTTAGACACTCCGCTGTTATCCGTGTTCTTAGCGGAGAGGGTGCACAAAGGAAAGACGAATAAATTATTGTGTAAATAATGGTACGCATTCTTTAAGTTGGCGCGTTGGCGCAAAATGTACTTGTTTGTGACGTGGCGCCTTCCAGAG